AGCAGCTTCAAGATAAAAAGCTTTATCTCCTATTATCAACACTGTGAGCCATCTAATCCTTTGTCGCTGAGATAATTTCAGTTTTTTGAATTTTTGTTTTTAACATACATCACTACCGTATTTTGCGATTCCCCTTTTTCACGTTTTACTGTGTGTAGAGTCATTTTTAAAAGGCTGAAGGGCCCATAATGCCTTCCTAACTTGTGTTTGTTTTTTGCCTATGATATTCAAAAGTGTAGCCTCTTTAAAACCCCAGTTTCTGGAAACCCGAGAGAGTAATGCTACATGTGGGTGCCTGAGGTCCACTCTCAGACAGGTGACAACAGGACCTCATGATAGAATTCAGGGACAGTTCCACAGACCCATATCCGTACTTTGACTTATAGCTAACTTGATTCCCTTGCTCCAACTTACCTCTCTTTCTTTTTGTTTTAAATAGGTATATGTGCTCCCTGTCGCTGTTCCACTATTCTGAATACTTAGTCACAGCAGTCAATAATCCCAAGAGTCTGTCCTTGGATTCCTTTCTCCTGAATCACAGTCTGGAGTACACAGTAGCTGCTCTTTCTTCTTGGATAGAGTTCACACTTGAAAACATCTTCTGGCCAGGTCAGTGTGCCCTTTGGAGGGGAGGTGGGTGGCTTCCACGTGGGCTGAGGACAGTGATGTGGGTTCACCTCTCAGTTCTAATCTCCCCGAGTGACTTTCCCCAGACCTCTATCCTCACTAAGCTCTTTATAAAGGACGGGCTTGTGAATCCCGCTTCTGGATTTCGAATCGAGGACAGGTTGACCTTCTGTTCTAAGCCTTGCATAATGTAGTACGTCATCTGATAGGAAGTTCCTGCCTTTGCTAGCTGTAATCCTAATTTTACAGTCAGATGAGATTTGGATCTCTTCGTTTTCTGTGACTCGAGACATTCCATATGAAGATTGTAGTAGCAAAAGCCTCTGTGTCCGGAACCTACTCTTGAGTCGAACTTTCCACAACAAATTAAATCAAATGGTGTAGTTCCCAGGATTCAGTAAGGGGCCAAGGTGGGAAACACTGGGTCCTTCTCTGTTTCACTTAGCTGTCCTTGTCTCCAAGGGGAGGACAGGAGCACGTGGCAGAGGACATGGAATGAGAGCCCATCAGCTGTGTGCCATGGCGCTGTAATTGGGTTATTGGCACTTTAAATGGATGGACAGCGCAGCTCAGGGGAATGTATTATGCTTATACTTAAATTTTAATGTAATGGCAAGTGCTAATTGCCCACTGGCATGGTTTCAACTGTTCCTATCTTTGGAAAAATAGGTTAATTTTAAGCATCCAGAGGGGAAACCCAACAGTCCCGTGTCTTCACTTCCCATTTGTCCCCATGTCTCCTGCAGAGCTGAAGCAGATCACCTGGCTCAGTGCCACAGGCCTGCTGATGGTGGTCTTTGGAGAATGTCTGAGGAAAGCAGCAATGTTCACAGCTGGTTCCAATTTCAACCACGTGGTGCAGAATGAAAAATCAGAAAGCCATACTCTAGTGACAAGTGGAGTGTACGCCTGGTTCCGGCATCCTTCTTACGTTGGGTGGTTTTACTGGAGTATCGGAACCCAGGTATAGTATCAGCTTTGACACTGGTCTCCTTTAATCTTTTTTTCTTTTCTACATTTTTTAAGTGACATATAATTCATGTACCATAAAACCCACCATTTCAAAGTGCACCATTCAGCAGGTTTCAGTGTGTTCACAAGGTCTTTGGTTCTCCTTAAATAGGTGTGTGTGCTCCCTGTCACGTTGCAACCGATAGCTAAATACAAGTCCAAATGTAAAAAAAGTCCTTAACATTTTTTACCACGTACTTAAAAATCTGGGCGTCCTAAATGTGTAAGCTCTTCGTGACTGAGTGCTGTCACCCCAACTGCCATACCCCTTCTCTGCCTCTTTACCTTCGATCTGGAGCACCCCAGTGGAGTGAGGACAGAGATGGCGCTGCCATTCGAGTGGCAGCTTAGCCGATTTTCATTAGAAGCTGCTGTTGATGAGGCCAAGGTCATGTATTAGGCTTAACCTGAGCTACAGAGGTTTGCTCCCTCTCAGGCTGCAGACTGAGCCTTGTTGTCTTGGTCCGGGGAGGACTTGGCCAGAGAATGTGAATAGAGTTTAGAAAACTCACCACCTCTTTGAGAAAATTCAATCTGGACCCGCTGGCATTCTATCCTGCGTGCATGGTCTGTGGGGACTCTAGTGGCCCCAGTGGTGTAGCAGGGGCAGGTCACTGCACAGCATCTCCAGGAAAACTTGCATTTCTGAAACTTAAGACCCCCGCATTAACAATCATATTCCTTGGGAACCAATCAGTTATAGTCGAGTCATGTAATTTGCATAAATGTTAACTGTACACCTAAGGACTAATTTTAGAGTTTTTATACTTGACCATACATCTTTTCACACTTTGACCCAGCACACACGTATGTGTGAAAACGGAGCAAGTCTTTCCCGGAACGAATGACACCCTCAGTGTGTACAGGGCAATCCGGTTTCGATCTTATTACGGTCTGTGATGCTGTTTATAACACACAGATGGGTTCCGGGGCTCAGTAGCAGGTCGTGGCCCGCGGCCGAGGAGCCGAGAGGCTGCGCGTGCCTGCCCCGCGCGCGGGCACAGGCCCGGGCTCGCTGACCAGGCCAGCCGTGGCTCTGGCATTTACTGGTTGGCCTCCCTTTCCTCACGAGTTAGGTGGGGCGGCAGCAGCACCTCCCATCCGCCGTGGGTGCTGCATGGCGCCTTGGTTGTAAAGGGCCGAGCGTGTGCTGGGAACTGTACAGTGACGAGAATGAGAAGTTGAGGGCATGTGCCTGGCTCTCGGGACGTCTCGCACTTGGAGGAGATACACATCCAGAGGGCAGAGGTGGGTGGTGGGCTCTCCGGGCAGCATGGCAGTTCCCTGAGAGCTGGGTGATGCTCTTGGCCTGGAGGGACTGTTAGGCCCTTGGTCAGTTCCCAAAAGCGACGAGACCACAGGAGTAGGGAGAACGAGGCAGACAGAGAGGCAGACAAAGGGGACGCTGCTGCAGTGGGAGCCAGGGTGGGCCAAGGGTGGCCGGGTCAGGCCCCTTAGTGCCCTGGGGCGATTTGATGAGTGATTTTAGAAGCTCAGTTGGCAGCAGGGGACATGGGTGGGCTGTGGGGCTGGAGGCAGGGGGCCAGGCAGGCGTGAGGTGGGACAGGCAGGCGACGGGCTGGGAGCCATGCGGGAAGGCAGTGTGCACCGCGTTAATTAGTGGGGGTGGGAGGAGGGGTAGCTGTCGCCCCCTGACTTGAGGGTTGATGTCCGGGAGCTTAGTCTTTCCTTTTAATAGATACTCTCAGGCACGGGATGGGGGGGTGGGGGGGGGAGACGAGTGTGTGAAAGGGGTGTGAAAAGAAGCCGCAGTGACGAGGGTTTCTTGCCAATGGAAAAGTGACAGTGCGATTTCCCGTCATGGCTCCCTGGCCGCGGCCCGCAGACCCTACTCGTTTCCCAGCCTCGTGGCCCCTTGGCGGGAAGCCCCCTGTGGGTGTTTGACGAGCAGATGGCGCTCAGGTTCACAGTGGCGGTCCCTCTGACCCTGGTCAACTTCGTGTTCCCCGTCAGGTGATGCTGTGCAACCCCATCTGTGGCGTCGGCTACGCTCTGACAGTGTGGCGATTCTTCCGCGATCGAACAGAAGAGGAGGAGATCTCGCTGATTCACTTCTTTGGCGAGGAGTACCTGGAGTATAAGAAGCGGGTGCCCACGGGCCTGCCTTTTATAAACGGGGTCAAGGTGGGGCTATGACACCCCAGGGGTCGGGCGCCTCCCGCCGCACGCAGCCCAGGACAGAACGACCTCTGGTCGGCCACTCTGCGGAACAGATTTTCTTAACCATTTTCAATTCCTCAATTACTCTTCTGGAATATCGCTCAGGACCAGATGGTCAGAAGGGCTGAGGACCAACGGCCCCCCCGACTTCCCAGAGCAGTCTGTCTTGGGGCTGAATCAAGACGGGGTGTGGGTTCAAGATGGACAAGGAACAAATAACAGCAATATTCAGCAGTGCCCTCCAGACGTGCCCCGGTGCGAACCCAGGCCACGTACTGTCCCTTCAAGGCCACAGCGTATTTAGGCTATAACCAGGACCCCTTGGGAGAGGTGGACTCATTACTCTGAGTAAGGCTTCTTCAGTAGGAGGCGGGTGTGGGCATCAGTGCTTTTAGTGTTAGAAATACATTCAGAATCTTTAACTGAGAAACAAAAGCAGCAGAGCTTTAACCCCCTCGTTCCTGTCTGTCAGTGCATGAGCATCTCTACAGTTTTAAAGACACTCCCTTATAAGGCACTTTGGCTCTTCATATATTTAACCGTATTTACATATCTATTTTTTATAAGTAGCAGTATAAATTCAAAGGGGACTCCAACCTTTATTTGGCAGAAAGGAAGCACCGACACGCAGACAGTTGGGCCAAGCAGCTTTGTGTGACCACGGTACCCCAGGCCCGGGAGACCATGGGCCCCTGTGGATTTTCTGGGGTCCTGGCTCCTGCTTGTCTTCCAAGAAGGGGCTGTTATCAGTGACAGGCATGTCAAAGTGTGTCATTTGTCCTTTATCCTAAGAAATGCTCACGGATCACCCCTGTGCAAGGCGTTAAATGCTGACAAATACTGCTCTCCATTTTCTTGGGATTTTATTCATATTTTATCATAGCCTATAGTTTTGTGTTTTGATTTAAATCTATTAACTATCGATTTCTATGTTTTGTTCTCAAAACTTCATCGTCCCTAATGCTATTTCAAACTGTCTTCCAAAGGGGAGCACACACTACAAAATTCAAGCAGGTTGAAAGTCTGAACTAGACTCGTGAAAGTCTGAACTAGAGCAACTTATCCCAACTGAGATTCAGTCATATTTTTGTTTTTCAAGTTTGGGGAGAATAGTTGGCTTTATGAGTCAAACATACACACTCCGAAGACCCTCGCTTATCCTGGACTGGATGGGAACTTGGTCTCAGTGTGAGACCCTTCCGTGCAGTTCTGCAGTGGCACCGAGGACGTGTGAACGCGATGGCGGTGGTGGCCCCTGGCCGGGCACAGCTCTGCCACGCCACGCAGCTTTTGAGCAGCCACTTTCCCTTTCTGTGCCTAGACCCCCCATCTGTAGGATGGGGTCGATACCACCTACCTCACAAGGGTGTCGTGAAGACTTAGAACGACGACGTCAAACGTTTTCGATGCTTAGATGAGAGAGATGACGTGAGTGGAATGCATACCGCATACGAGTTACACGAACATGGACGTTTGGTTACCTGTACCAGATACTGGAAATGCGTGTTCAAAAGAGCATTTTACCGACTCAAAATAGTACTGATTTCTAGATTTCATGGCCTAAGTAATTCTTCTTTGTTAAGTATACCAAAGAGGTTTTCGGGTTTGTCGATTACTGCTGTGACACTCGCTGGCGTGAGAAACTGGAGACCTGACCAGTGGCCCTAAGAAGGGCGGTACGGTCAGGTGGCCATGGCCACTGATGCCGGATCCCTGGCAGCAGCTTCCCTGGGACGTCGCTCCCCGGTGGGACGTCAGCACGCACTTTGCGAACTCAAGTTGGATCAGTTCTAAGTGTGGTCTCCAGACCATGCTTAGCGAAGTAAATGCCACTCAGTAGGACTGCAGAGTGGAGGGGTGGTTGGGGGATGGCAGCCATCCCCAGACCCTTGAGGAAGGCTGCTTTCTTGTTGCATCGAGTGGGCTTGGACCCAGCTTTAGTGACACTTCTGGGCTGTGAAGTTGTCTTTTTAGTAGCTGGAGAGCAGCCGATGATGGCCAGCTCTAGCTTTGTGGGTGGGAAGTCAGAGGCACTGGCCTCCACTTTTCTGCTGGGCCAGGAGCTCAGAAGGTAGGCCTTGGTGCTTTCCAGTGAGACGCTGCCCTTATGCCACCTGAGGCTTGACATACTCTGCTTTAAAGAGCAGTTCTGTGGGTGCAGTGAGAACATTCACACCCAGCTTTGTAATCCCTGGGCAGAAGTGGGCAATTACTTAGGGATAAAAGATGAACTATTTAGGGACAGGGTTTGGCAAGCGATTGACTTTCATCTAGTACTGAGACCTTCAGAATATTTTTAACTGTATAAATTTAGCAGTGACTGCACACAAAGAATCAGGTTAATGAGGCGCAGGCTTTCTGGGTATTCCCGAAAGCTTTTCAGGTTAAGGCCATGTCTCCAGTTCCCTCAAATTAAGAAACTGTCAGGAGATTTTGTTTTCCATTGTGGGTTTTAAAGTGGAAAATCTTAAGTGGAACACAGGCACTGCATGGAACAAAGCTACTTGGAAGCTGCGTAAAATGAAACATTTTACCAAGAACTGCAGGCTGCGCTGAGAATGGCAGTTTACGGGAGAGGGGTGAGCCTGGCAGAAAGCAAAAGCACAGTCCCACCGCCCCGCGTTGGCGCGAACTTCTGGAGCCTAAGAGTAAACTCGATTCAGCGCTTCCATCCATTTACCGTTCTGGGCGATGACGTGATGGGGGAAATATTCCCAAACCTATACATTGCATTAACAGATTAGGCTCAGTAGGGTCTCGGCACAGCTCGTGGTGGTGGTGGGCCCTCGGTAAGAGGTACAGGAAACCACTGTCCCTTCTCTGCACTTTCTTACTGCCTTAGATAGCTGTGATCTCCCACCATTTTTGCTTCTCTAGTGACATGGTGGGGCGAGGCAGCCTCAGCCTCGCGGGCGTGGTGGGAGAGGCTTGCTCTGTCCCCTGCTACGAAAGCTTGACAGCAGCGTCCTGGGCCTGGAAAACTGGCTGCCAGGAGGGGCCCTGAGCGCTGGCTCTGGGAAGCTGCCCGTAGCTAGGAGAGTAATTTAATGGAGTAATTATTCTACTCTTTTTACATGCAGAAATGTTTATTTAAATATTTTAAATTAGATTTTCTTTCACAGATACTGATATTCTTTCCGATTCTTAAATAAAACTGTACTTGATTTCACTATGAATGACAGTGTGATTGTTTGGGATGCAGAAGTACAAAGGTCACGTCCCTTCCAGCTAAGAAATGTCCGAATGTACAACGTAAAACCAGAGGTGTTTTGCCTACTCGATTCAGTTCCGAACGCCCACCCCTAACCAGTTTGCAAAGGCGGTCTTACCCACTCTCCTGGCTGCCGCGGAAGTCCGCGATGCTCTGGCTTGCGAACGTCAACGCCCTGGGGTGGCAGCTGCAGGGGCGCTGGTGGAGGTGCGATGCCTCAGTGCATTGACATGCACACCCACCTGACACGTCCAAGCCACCTGCTGTTTGAACCCCCGAATCAGGATGGACATTTGCTTAAAATATGGCTCTGGGCATTATTATGCCTCCAAAACTTTAAATTTTAGGTCATTTAGGTCTTTTTAAAAAGCATCATATTAAGTTCCACTTGATTAACAGGGTCCTGTGTAAGGATGGACTATTAGAGCAAAACTTCTGAATCGTGCTGTCATGACAAGGTGAACCCAGGAGCATGACAGCAGCCTGGAAAACTAGTGGAGAAGCTGTGATGGGGACCGTCCCCCGCCATGCACGCTGCTGCTGGGTGCTTGTCCTTCTCCTGGGTCTGCTTTTGCTTTTTGAGCTCAGCCTTTGCCGTGAAGGGTGAAAAGCTGGCGCACAGGATTTTGCTTTTTGCTGAGTCAGTGTTCAGATAACTGGATGGAACTTTCCAGTGGCACCCAGGTAATAGTGGGGCAGTGATTCAGGAGAAGCCGGATTCCTCTGAGGCAGGGTGGACGCATCACAGTGGTGGATGGAGCCTCATTAGTAAATTCAGAGCCGCAGGCCCTCGTGGGCAGTAGGTCATCAGGCACTAGGGAGACACCGGATGAGTGAGGGGCTCCAGGCTGGCGTTACTCAGTCAACATTGTCCACGTGGACGGGGATGTCATCCCTTGCTGCTGCGATGATGACCAAGACTTCGTGCCTTGCCAACATGGGAAAAGAAACTTAGCCCAAGCCAGAAGCTCCGTCGGGAAGGCCTTCAGAGGGTTTCCGGGTTTTGCTGCAGACAAAAATGATCACTCTTTAGAAAATGACCATGATGGCGACAACCTTTTCCTTCTGAAGGTCCGGGTCTCCATATGCATATTGCAAATTCCCAAACCCCTGGGACCAGCCCCATTGGTTAATTTGGGCGCTCCCTCCACGGGGTGGGGCATCGCCTCCAGATTTTGATTTGGGTCCCTAAGGGTCTTTGTTCAGTGGAGGCTCTCCTGGGAGGCTGCCTAGAGTCCGCTGCTCCCTCTCAGCTCTGAGGCCTTCTCTCTCCTCATGACACTCACTGGATCATTCCCAAAGGGATTCTTGAACATGGGCTCTTCTGCCTAGCGACGCCCACCTCGCCACGTGCCAGCACCAAACCCCGCCCCGGCCAAGGCTTTCGGAACGGAAGGCCTTTCTGGAAGGCACTGGCTGACCACGAGAACCATATGGTCTCCTAAAGGCTTGCCCTCTTGTGTCTGATGATGTTTAGTGTTGTAGACATCAGCTGTTCGGGCTATTTCAGCGGCTTGTGCTGATAAGCAGCTTTGAGTTGACACCCCCCTCCACCGAAGCATCTGAGCTAAATGAGCCCGTGGTGCCCGTGGTGGGTGGGCTAGTTTATGCCCTGTCCCCAGCCACAGCAGCACACCTGCCCACGCCCGCTAGGCTCTTCCAGCTCTGTGTGTGGCTTTGCTCTCTGCCCCGTGACTAACACATTTTATTGAGTGAAATGCTGGAAGACTGGCTTGTGACAGTGACGCGTCTGTTACTGCGCATTCTTTTCTCCCTCTGGCAAGTATTTTGGCAAACACTGCGGCTCCAAGCTATAGAAATGCTCTCATACAGAAATAACCCGCGGTCGCCTTTTCTCATTGAAGTGCATTTGTGTCACGTGGTGTAAGTGCCTGGGGGCCAGTCTGCAGAGCTGGAAGCTCTCAGTGGTCAGCGGCGCAGGCCGCAGCCATGCCAATGATGGCTGTGAATGTGGGCCGTGTGTATCAAAGTCACATGTGTCATGCATGAAGTCACTTGTTTGAAGTCACCCTCCTGATTATGGACGTCTCTGTGTATTTTACACACTGAGGCTGTCAGCGGCACGCTGGGACCAAACGGGAACGGAAGCCTGGGCTCTGTCTTTCTCGTCCACATTTGTCTCTGAGCTTGAACCGTTTGCCTGCTCAGGCTGGAAAGACGCTCTACCTGGCCTGGGTCTCGCCGTCCGTGCTGTCATCGTGCGCATTCTGTAGATGCTGTGACTCTTCATCCACGGGCGCCTGGAACCTGCGCGGGAGTGGGCGGATCCTGGGCACCTGGAAGGCGGCAGAGCCAGCCCACCGTGCGTCCTGAAGCTCACTCTTTGCCCGGAAATCAAACTTAAGCAAACACTCAAGGGCTTTGGTCCTCAAATGCTTCCTGGGGGGCCAGGGCTGAGGTAGGTAGGAAGTGAGGGGCCAGGCCCTGCTCTCACAGAACCTATACTCTGGTTGGGAGACATGCCAAGATTGGGAGGGGGCAGGGAGGGGCCAGGTGATGGGGAAGGACGGTGACTGGAGACCTGCTTTGAATAGGGTGATTTGTGATCAGAAGTCTAGGCTTTAAAAGGAACACAGGCTGTGTGACATGCTGGAGGGCTGGGGAGAGCGGGTGGAAGATGGTCTCTTGGATTGGGGGTGGCAGTGGAGACAAAGCAAGCGGATCGAAACAGTCAACAGAAGTTGGGAATGGGTTGGACGTGGGAATGAAGGGAAGAAATGACTCTAGGATGTCCTCCAGGCTGTTTACTTGATCACGTGGGTGACTGATGTCATTTACTGAAGTCAAACAGGAACAGCACGATTGCGAGGGGTGGGGGCGGCGCAGTAATCAAGTTCTGCTAGCCACTGTGGGATGTGACGTGGCTGTGAGCCATCCAAGCAGAGAGCCCACGAAGGGATGGTTGGAGATGAGGGAGGGCCTGTGCCGGACACGGGGACTGGGGTCCTCTGCATTGCCATGGGGGGTTAAGCCAGTGGACTGCGTGAAGCCCCTTAAGGAGAGGGTGCAGAATGAGAAGAAGCCTGGACTGAACCCGAAGGAAAACTGGCATTTGAGCATTGGGCCCAGGAGGCAGAGCCAGCCCGAGATTAAGAAGGAACAGCTGGAGAGGCAGGTGGGAACCCCGGAGCGTAGGCTGTCTCAGAAGCAAGGGCACGGCGAAGGTGACGGACAAAGTCCCACTTAGGAGTGCTGCCGAGAGGCCAAGGGAAGGAGCTTAGCGATGGTGGACCTGGAGCAGATCCCATGGGTGGGGTTGCCGTGGGATGGGGAGGAAGCAGGGGTGGCAGCTCCAGACACCCAGAAAGTGGTGCTGTGAAGAGAGCTAGAGGCAGCCCCCTTCCTTGCCCCAAACCTCCAGGAGCCGGGCTGGAGCCGGGCTGCAGCCCGAACTCCTTGCTCTTTGCAGAAGCCGACCGCAGCCGCCATGTCCCCGCAGAGACAGTGTGCCCCTTGGCAGGCGAGCGGGAGCACACTGTCTGAAGCTAGCTTCTCACCCGAGCAGAGCACACAGAAGGGCAAGCGTGCAAATGACAAGAGTGTGGCTTGCTATGTGCACACAGCGTGGACAAGCTGGGTAGACAGCACCCAGAACGTCACCTCCACCCAGAGACCCCCCAGGATAATCAACCACCAACCCAAGAGCGAACACCAGAGGTGCGTTCTGCCTGGTTTTGAGACTTTATAAATGGAATCAGTGTCTGGAATAAACTACTCTGAACGTCAGCTTATGAGGAAACACAGCAACCAGTCTCGGGTAGACAGAGATCTGATCAGAATTGTGCAAAAGGCATGACGAGTTTAACCTCTCTGTGCGAGGTGTTGACATAGTCACTCGACAGGTGACCTGGCAGTTCTGGACTAACGTGGCAATCGCACACACATACTCTCATTTCTCTTCTTCCCCAAACTCACTGAGACTCTAGTAAAAGGGACGAAACATCGAGGGAGAAAAAATCTCTGCAGGTTGAGAACAGGAAAGGGTAAGACCAAAACTGCTCCGGGAAGCCGGAGAGACGGAGGCGAGCGGTAGATAACCGAGCAGGCCTGAGAAACCTCAGTTGTAAGTTCAAAGTGCACACGGGACACGCTAAGGCCCCACCTGGTTCACAGCGCAGGGTTCTCAGGGCCCAGGAACTGGTACCCACAGGGAGGGTGGGTCTGAGATGATGAGAGAGGTGATGGTCCAGACCCCTACCCGGGAGCAGCTGCCCACCCCCGCCCCACAGGAGTCCTAGGTTTAGTCTCTGAGGGTATGAGCCACAGGTGAGAACTACTAAGAACCAGAAAATCGGGTGTGCATACAAGTCCTCCATATGGTCACCTTCCAGGAAGGAAAGGAGAGAATCTTAAAACACACTGGGGCCTTCAAGAACACAAAGCAGAAGGAACGCCCCGCCCACCCGGACCCCTCGCAGCGAAGCACCGCCCACTCGCCCAGAGCTTCCGGTCTGCTCCCCGTCATCCAACGAGCAGATAATCAAAGCTATCCCGACGTCTGAAGAAAGCCTTTGGCGTGGAAGACAGAAACCTAAACGAACAAAAAGTAAGTTGGAGGAAACAGACTGAAGGGAAGAAACTTAAAAAGTACCTGTCGGGCTCAGGTGAGACACTGTGAAACAACAGAATGCTGTGTCGAAAGAACCGGGCACCGAAAAAAGAGGTCTTGGAAAGTAAAAAAAAAACAAAAAAAAACTACTAGAAATTAACTATTTTTCGAAAAGCTCTAGGGAGTTTTCTTCGAAAATGAAGAACTCAGTAGAATGGTTGGAAGGTGAGTGAGGAACTCTCCAGAGAAAGTAGACCAAAAAGACAGAGACGGAACACAGCGCCGTCAGGGGAATGTCAGTGAGGGCCGATCCCCAACAAGAGTGCCAGACAGAGACGTGGAAAAGTTAACAAGTTCAACAAATATAGCCCAGTCTGAAAGATGCGAATTTCCAGGTTGAAAGGACCCACCAGTATCCAACCCCATGGATGGAAAAAGGCCCTCACCAATGTGAGATCTCAGAACACTGGGAGCAGAGAAGATTCCGTAAGCTTCTAAAGAGAATCCGTAGGTCACACTGCAAGGATTAGAGCTCAGAACGCCTTCCAATTTCTCAAAGACAACCTTGGAAGCTAGAGGACAATAGAACGATGCCTTCAAAGGAGAATCGTCTCCAACCTAGAATTTCAGTCTAGGATTTCATACCCAGCAAAACCATCGGTCAAAGGTGAACGCAGAATAGACATTTCGTGCCTGTCCGAAACATAGACCCTTTTTCAAGGAGTTACTGGGGGATGGGCTTCGCCAACATGGGATATAGGAAACAGGAGATCTGGTAGGAGCAAGGCAAATGGAGTCCCCAGGAAGGTGGCAGAGGGGGACTGGGCTGACTGCTGTGCACCAGACCTACGGGGCAACCAGCCCCCCTTGGGGCGGAGTGACTCAAGAGACGGGGCACATCAAGGACCTGCCACCAAGATCCCTCTGCCACTGGAACATTTTTCGTTGCCCGTGTGGGGTACTGAGGGCCTGGTCCAGGTTCTTGTCTAGACTGGACTTAGCCGTGCCCTGAGGAAGTGCTGCTCTCGCCTCCGTGTTCCGCTGTGCGGGTCAGCTGAGGACCCTGATTACACTCCCAAAGAGTCTTCTGCTGCAAACGCCTGAGGGCTGGAGGTGGGAGCCTGTGTGCCTAGAAGCAGAAACTCAGAGCAGCCTGCTCTCCCCAGGTATTCGCAATTGTCCAGCACCTGGTCTGAGCAGGTGTCCCAATGACCCTTATGACCTGGCCCACTGACTGCCAAAAGAATGGGCTCTTTCACACACAAATTCTGAGGCGTCTTGGCTCCCCTGGGGCCACCCCCTGGTCTCACCTGGGCTCCAGCCGCTCCTTCACCTTGGCAATGGAGCGGACATAGGGCGTGATCTGCTTGGTGATGGTGGTCAGATAGGCATTTTCCTGCTTCAGCTGCAGAAGGTCATGGAGCTGAGCTGTAGGGACCAAGGCCAGAGCGTTGGGTCTTGTTGGCTTTAGATTCTTACTCTCAACCCTCACACCATCTACGTATCTCAACTAATTCACTAATTAGCTCTTTAATCAAATGGCAAGGTAAGACGTGAGGGCAATCTACTCACTGAATCCTCACCTCAGATGCATCGTTTTGGGGCCAGTTAGCAGCTGTGAGGCAAAGTGAAGGGCTAAGGGGACGAGCGTGGGGGTTCATATCTGGTTAGTGGGTAACTGCCTTTCTGCTCCTGCTGGCATGTGGGTTAGCTCCAGGACAGGGGTGCACTCAGCTGTGGCTGCCTGGGACCTTCATAAATCTCCTGCTCGTTAGCCACCCGCTGGTAGGATTCCTCCCACATCTGAAAGAGAAAGTAAGTTGGACGGTCACATATGGTGTTAGCTGCAATTTCCATTGGTGGCATTTCTGTCCTCTAGCTACTCAGAGCCACATGGCACCCCCAGCCGGCTAGCTTGGTTCCAGGCAGGGAAGACCCAGGTTCCAAAGCCTACCACACGAGGGCCTCATGGAGCACGGGCCAACGACCTCTTTCTCCCCCTTCCTGTCTTGAGGCAGCCCAAGTGCACGCTGACAGGTGGGCTGAGGGGAGTTAGGGCCTGGGGCGGGGCTACCTCCTGGAAGGCGGCTCTCATGCCCTCCACGGAAGCGTACTCCGAGGCGATCTCTGCGTCCACCTGCAGGGACTTGCGCAGGATGTCTGCCATGATCTCCGCCTTGATGAGCGAGTGGTGCTTGGTGAGGTCCCGGTGCAGCTCCTGCACCTGGTCCTTCAGGCTCTGCATCTCAGCCTGCAGGTGCTGCGTGAGAGACCACGTCGAGTGCTTGTAGTTCCGGCGGGCGGGGTCACCGCCCCGCCTCGCGGAAGGGCCGGCTTCCGGAGTGGCCCCTGACCTTGGAGGGGAAGGGGCGGGTGCCTCCCCAGCCCGCAGGTCCCCGGCTCCCCTCACCCGGTAGGAGTCCTCGTAGTGGCGGCAATGCTCCGTGAAGGGTGTGTCCTCGCCCTCGGCCAGCAGCACCTTGGTGCTGATGGACCGGTGCAGGGTGGGCTTTTGGACCGGCGACCCCAACATCTTCCCCACCGGGGAAGGGCAGCTGGGCCCCATCAGCACCTTGGGGCCTGAGACCCCTGCTAGCCTGGGGAGAGAGCCAGTGTGGGTGCAGATGGGGGCAGTGGGGGTGGGCGGGCCTTCCCCTCCTCCAGCCTCTAGTGCTCTCTCAGCCCCCTCACCCCAGACTGCACCCCAAAACCGCCACGGGAGCTCTGAAAAAGCCTGACGCAAGGCTGCACCCAAGACCGGTGACATCAGCACTGTAGGACGATGTCACTGTGCAGAAAAGAATCAATCAGGACTCCTTCAGGGTGGGTCCCCAGAGGACGCTGTGTACCCTCACTCACTGGGGCCTTGGCCTGCACATTTTCCCTAACTCCTGCCGGGTCTGGGGTGGAAGTCAGGCTCTGCCCCAAGCCGCCCCTTCCCTTCAGTGCCTAGGGGCCCCGGCCAGGGCCTCGAGGCTGCAGCAGCGGTTGGGCGAAGCCCCCGAGTCCTCTCCATCCTCCCCGACCAGATGCTACGCCAGATTTATCCTGGGCTTCAGATCCGGGGGGCCCCGACTTCTACCCCCCAGCCGGCACACTCGCTCTCCCGCGTGGCGTTGTTGGCGCGGGGGCTCAGCAAGCCGGAAGGGCAGAGCGCACCTGTCTGGACCGCGCCAGTGCCCTCCCCACTCTGACCCAGACCTTGCTGCTCACGTGTTGGTGCCGCCCCCGGCTCCCGCCGCCCAGCGCGGCCCCAGCAGAAGCAGCGGCTCCAGGCAGCGTGCGAACTCGGCGCGGTGGTCGCTGGCGATCTGGACAGGGGGACAAGTCGTGAGGCGGCCTCCAGACTCCGCAGCCCCCGCCCCCGGCCCACCCGGCGCCCGCGCACCTTGCTGCTCTGCGCCGGCCGGAGGCGATGCGGCCGCGTGGCGATGCCCTGCAGTCTCTCGATCAGCTCCTGTGCCCGGGGTGGGGGGTGGGGGTAAGGGCGGTGCTCTGGCTGATGGGGGTGGTGACAGTGAGGGGGAGGCCCTGAGGGCAAGTCTCTTTGGCACCTTACCTGGTATCAGTTGGAGGCTCCAACCCTTCCCTGGGACTGGCTTGGAACCACCCCCCCAAACCCCCACAGGAAAGGTTGAGGGGGGCTGGACTCCAGCAGACACTGCACTTTGGGGGAGAAGAGGCTTATGCGCCCTTCCAGGCTTCAGTGTCCTCTTAAAAGGGACTCAGCTGGCCCCTAAATGGCTTGTAGATGATGGTGTGGAGGAGGGGAAGAAGGTAAGCCCAGAGACCCCTGGTTCAGCCACCAGTTGGCAGTCTGGGTTGTGCCCAGTGGGGTCCTGGCATGTTGGGGGGAAGGCCCCGCAGGAGCTGGGGGACTCACATAGCCCAGATCCAGGAACTCCGCCTTGTTGGCCAAGCTGAGGAAGGAGGAGCAGATGACGAGGTGAACCTGTGGGAAGGCCACCGCTCAGCACCTGGCTGGGGGCAGGGGGCCCTCTGGGCCAGGGTGCCCAGCACCGCAGCCCCAGCTCCCCTTACCTGCAGGGTGGGCAGCAGAGCGGCCAGTTGGGAGAGCTGCTCCTTGAAGGCCTTGTCCTTCTCCTCATACTGGCTGGGGGAAGGGCAGGCAGCCTCATTTCCAAGGGGAGGGCGGCTCACCGCCCCAGGGACCTCAGGATGGGGCAATGCCGTCGCCCCGCCAGCTTTGTGTGCCCTTCCCTGCCACCCTCCCGTGCCCTGAACCTCCTTGCCTTCCTCACCCGGCGGACACCGGGATGTTTTGCTCCCCAGGGTGGGGCGGGGCCTGTCCAGTCCCAGGCCCTGAGCCAGGTGTGTGGAAGGAGGCCAGGGGGCAGGGATGGAGAGCCCACTCACCTCTGCACGGCCCGCAGCAGCACGGCTTTCCTCTCTGCCAGCCTGTCCTGGGAGGGACAGTCTGCTACTGACTGGGCATGCCCAGCCCCGCCACCTCCCAGTGCTCTGCCGCTACCCTGGGCCTCAGTCACACACTGGCCATCTGCCCAACCTGCTGGCCCAGCTGCCTGAGCCTGAGGCCTGCCTTCCTGCATCCCGCTGCCTGAGAGTCCCAGTGTCCTCACCTTAAACGCCACCTCCTGGGGGAAGTCCTCCCTGACCAACCCCACCACCAGCACAAGCTAGGGTAGGCCCTGGCTTCCCTTCTGGAACTCTCCTGGCAACTGTGATTAATTCCTGGAAAGCAGTTCAATGCCTGCGGCCCCGCTGCGCTGGAAACTCCAGGCGGGCCCTGAGGGGGCCTGCCCCATGTCGCAGGCAGCGAGTCACGGCTGATAAGGATGCTCAGCCTATGGCCGTCCCGTCCGCCCACCACGCACCTGCATGCTGCTGAACAGGGCATGGATGGCCGCCTCCTCCTCCGCAGCGCTGCGGCGCACCTCCTCCACCATGGCCTGCAGCAGCGTGATGGCCTCCCGTGTGGCGGTCTGCAGGGCCTTCACAGCCTGGGGAAGAGGCGGCGTCAGCCTCCTGGGCGCGCGCGTCCCCAACCCTGCCCCTGCCGGGGCGTGCAGGGCACCCCGCGCTCACCAGCACCGCCTGCTCCAGCCGCTCGCAGCCCTGCACATAGGCCGACTCGAGGTCCACGCAGTGGGCCCGGCTCTCCCTGCGGGGAGCCTGCAGGTGAGCCCGGCTCCGCGCCGCACCCCGCGCCCTCTCGCCTCCAGCTCCCTGTACCCACCCCTGCATGTCCCGGAAGCAGCGGATGCACAGCAGCGACTTCTTGTCAGTGGAGAACATGATGTAGGCCTCGGCGTGCAGAGCTGCAGAAGGGCGGCGGTGAGGGCTGGGGCAGTGTCCCGCTCTGTCCCCACTCCCTACCCCCGGCCGGTCGCCACGCCGCACTCACTGCACTTGGGGAGCACGTCGCGGCTGCGCTGGCCCAGGGCCACGATTTCGTGGCTCGCGAACATGCGTGCCCGGTGCGTCTCGTCGCGGCAGCGCGCGCACAGCGGCTGCCCGCACGTGTTGCAGTAGTACATGGTCTCCGGGTCCTGCGGGCCCAGTGTAGGCTCAGTCCCACCGCCACCGGCACCCACCGACCGTCTCCCCGGTGTCACCGAGCTGGTCGGTCACCGCCTGTGGCAGGGATGCGGCTCAGTGCAGCCTTTCCATGTCATCCTGACGCTCTAAGCGCCCAGCTTACAGAAGAGAACACGGAGGCTCAGAGAGCAGGTGAGCGGGGCAGTAACGGGCGGGAACCGGAATGCGCTTGGGGAGGCAATTACATGGGGTTGGGAGGAGGGCAGAAACTGCATTTGCAAAACATTTTACTGGAACCATAAGTATGTGTGCGTGTGTGTGTGTGTGTGTGTGTGACCTCTCAAGCCACCCTCCGCACCCTCAACAGTAGCCCAACGGCAGTGCCCACCCTGGCCACGTGGAGGCTAAATTTGGCTGAGAGGGAAAAAGGAGTGGGGCCTGGGGGTTTCCTTCCCCGGGACAGACGCAGGGCTTAGAGCCCAGGGCATGGGCTGCAGCCACGGCATTGACCCCAGCAACGGCTGTGAAAGCACAGACCTCGAGTCCTTACTCTCACATTCAAGGCCATTTCCTCCTCTGCTCCCCCTACCTCCAGATGGGCACCTCTGTGCTGCTGTGTCACACATGTCCTAGCTCTTGATCAGCACCTCCAAGCTTCTGCTCCTGCAAGGCCATCCTCCCAGGACTGGGAATTCCTATGCGACCTCCACAGGCCAGAGTCCCGAGTGCCCTTTGCAGCCCAGCCTGAAGCCTGGCCTCTGCTCCTTAGTCTTTCCTAGACTCAGCGGGCAGAGTCATCCCTCCCCGACAGCACGCTGTCCTCACTTTCCCTAGGGCTATAGGTAGTAGCTCAGAGCTACCTACGTACCCTCAGGGGCAGGCCCACTCTGAGTTGGGGACCAGTGAGCTCTCCCCAAATCGAATGGCCTTAACCTCTGTCACTACCTGGCTATTCGCTCAAGTCACTCGTTCTGGAACTCAGTCTCCCTACCTGTAAAATGGCCACCTTTGGGATCCAGGTGCGCTAGGGAGGTGTTGGAGGATCCACTAATGGATAATCTTCTGAGGATATGTTGGGTACACTCTGCCAGCACCTAGACCCTGGGACCTGGCACCCTTGCCTCCCCCCGGGCGCCCCTGCCTGCTTGCTGCACTCCAGGTCACAGTTGGCACAGCACACCACCTCCAGGCCGTCCCCGGAGCTGTCCACGAGGAACTGCAGCAGCCGGTCCACTGGCGGGAGCCCGCTGGGGCCCTTCACCACCGTCTGGTGTCTGCGGAGAAGCTGCAGCCAAGATCCAGATGCCCCTTCTCCGGGGCTCCCTGTCTGCTCCTGCCCCCCCACATTCCAGGCTGGGGCTAAATATAGGGTGGGTGGGGGATGGAGTGCTTAGGTACTGGCATCTGCTATAAATATCTCAGCCAGTGCTCACTCTCACCCTGTCCCTCCCCCAGTCCACTCCTGGGTGAATCCTGGGAGGTCATGGGGTTGGCGACCTGGGGTGATAAGGCAGAAGCCTTTCCTCAAGCCCTTCTCATTGCACTGGGCACAATTACAGCCACGCCTCCCCGCCCTTCCCCCCACAACTTGATCCTACATCATCTGCTAATGTTGACCTAAGACTTCAGGGACCAACCAAGTGAGTTACCAAGAGCATCCTGACGCTGCGCTGAGGTCAGGTACTCCATTAGCACTAAGTCCCGACATGACAGTGCCCTAGCCCCGCCCCTGTCCCTAACTTTCTGTGGGAGGCCTTGGGCCAGTAATCCTAGGCCTCAGTTAACCTGACCTGGAAAATGGGCGGGAGCGCGCGCATTCTCCAGCGGAGAGGTTCCGGCTGGGTGGGGCCTCTCCCAGTCCGCGCTGGGAGTCAGAGCCTTGCCCTCCCTGCACCTGGGTCCCTGCCCAGGCAGAGCCAGGCTCCCGTCCCAGGGAGGGGGACCGTGGGGGCTTCCAGGCACTCACTGGCACAGCGGGCAGGCTAGACGGCCATCCGCGGCGCGGCCGCGCAGGCAGCCGGCGCAGAAGTGGTGGAAGCAGTCGAGCAGGCAAGGGCGTTCGTACTGGGCGTGGCACAGCGGGCACACGAGTGGGTGGCCGCTCGCGGCGTCCACGGCGTCTGGACCCTCCAGGGGCGCGAAGATAGCTCCCGACATCTGCAAGGACAGCGCAGGACGGCGCCAAGGCGCCCAGCGGTCGCAGAGCTGGGAGCAGCAAGGTACCCGGGCGGGTTTCGGAGCGCCGGGCAGGGGAGGCGTGCGGAGGGGCCGGCCCGGGGCTCTATCCCCACCTCTCCCGCACCCGCGCGGTGGCCCTAAAAGGTCAGGCCGCTGGACCCGACAAAGCTTCCTTCTCGGTGGCCAGCCAACCCCTTCCTCCACCTCTCCCACCAACCCTCACTCCCACCCCAGGAATTCCCCTCTCGGTGTCCTCTGGGTGATCCGCAAGCGACACTCCTTCCGCGCTGGGCCGGCCGGGTTGCTCAGGAGAGGTGCTCTTGTCCACCAGCTCCAGATTGTCCGCCGCCTCACGGCGAGGGCCGGGACTACCGCTCTGCTCCCTTGTTCCGGTCAAGGCCACCGCCACGGCCACTCCATGCCCAGTCCGGGAGGAGGAGAGGCA